CAAGATGGCTATAATGTGAACAACTCATGCATATCATGTGAAAGAGTAGGTTTTGTCACCACCGTCAGACGTCACCACCGTCAGGTTTTCTATCTATTATTTAGTGATTCTTGGGAATTTGGATAAAACAGGTTTTGAACAACCACAAAATAATAGTAAATATAACAGGCCATTGGACAGTGTATTGGTGACCGAGTTATTCTGTTTACATCCAAAAGGCACTGGAGGGTGTTTCTGCTTCCACCTGTGTCCTGTGTCCTGGATGCTGAGCGGGTGTTTATAGTCTCAATCTGACAGCTGCTACACCGCAGGGATCTGTCAGGAATGTCTGGAGTCTACAGTGTAGCTAAACCAGGACAAAGAGATGTTAATGAATGACAAGACCTTAGTGAAGTTTCGCCTCTGTTGACACACGAATGGTTGGCGTTCCCCTTGTCTGGAGTGGGTTACGCTTGGCCTCTCCCAACTGCTCCGTTTAGTTTGGGAAGAGACACACACACACACACTAGCAGCAGACACACATTCATGCTTTGTGCGCTGTGCTCTTTTGATGAAGGATTCCTTAATCTTCCTGTCGACTAGATGGCTTTATCTTAATTGTTGTCTAGGATTCTTGGCTTCCTGTCCCATAGCTCTTGAGTTCATGTCCTGCTCTCCTGAATGACGGGCTGATGGGTCCAGAATTGCTTTTTGGCAAACCTCTCAATGCTGGAAAATGTGCCTGCGATCATTTTTAAGCCCTATTCATGCGGTAATTGTTTCTTATGGGGATGTAAGATAACTTCAACATTTACCGTAGATCTGCACATTCAAACGTTAAAAGATCGCAAACACCCACCGGATCTCATTCCTAAATGACAATGATTCAACTATGTCTAAACCTTTATAAAAGCATTAATTCAGATCTGTGTTGGCGCTGATCCATAGGGAGCAGTTATCATGTTTAGGTATGAAACTGCTTCACAAACATTTTTTTCAACCACACAGTATCATTATTTCTGAGTTTTACCAATATTAATATTATTACAGAAGTGCTGGGATAAAAGTTTTAAGTTTAGATATAAACACTGATGATGTCTATTGAAGAAATCCCTTTTTGAAAGTAAATTGGTGCTTCAAATAACGATCGTATCGTGAAGTATTTATGAGTGAGTCATTGAATCATTAATTCAAGGTTCGTTTAAAAATGCTGATTCATCCAGTAATGAAACAAGTGAAGTATTTATGAGTAAGTCAGTGAATCATTCACTCAAGATTTGTTTAAAAATGCTGATTCATCCAGTAATGAAACAAGTGAAGTATTTATGAGTGAGTCATTGAATCATTCATTCAATATTTGTTTAAAAATGCTGATTCATGCAGTAATGAAACAAGTGAAGTATTTATGAGTAAGTCAGTGAATCATTCATTCAAGATTAGTTTAAAAGTACTGATTCATGCAGTAATGAAACAAGTGAAGTATTTATGAGTAAGTCAGTGAATCATTCACTCAAGATTCGTTTAAAAATGCTGATTCATCCAGTAATAAAACAAGTGAAGTATTTATGAGTAAGTCAGTAAATCATTCACTCAAGATTCGTTTAAAAATGCTGATTCATCCAGTAATGAAACAAGTGAAGTATTTATGAGTGAGTCAGTGAATCATTCGTTCAAGATTTCTTTAAAAGTGCTGATTCATCCAGTAATGAAACAAGTGAAGTATTTATGAGTAAGTCAGTGAATCATTCACTCAAGATGTGAATGATTCACTGACTAGACATAGTTAGACATAGTTGAATCAAGATGAGTGAATGATTCACTGAGTAAGTCAGTGAATCATTCACTCAAGTATTTATGAGTGAGTCATTGAATCATTCATTCAAGATTCGTTTAAAAATGCTGATTCATCCAGTAATGAAACTAGTGAAGTATTTATGAGTAAGTCAGTGAATCATTCACTTAAGATTCATTTTAAAATGCTGATTCATCCAGTAAAACAAGTATTTATATAACAGATATTTTGTTTACAGCTGAGCTGACAATCATGTGATGACCGCATGAGCCAGTTCAGTTTATTATGTGTTTATCAGTGTGTGTCAGTTCCTTCGGTTTATTATTTATCCTCGTGATGTGTGTGTTACTATACGGGACAACTGGCAAAAACTCTGTTTTACCGGCTTGCCAAAGCTTATTTTTATTTGCATGTGGCACGTGTAAATTTAGGAGCCTGGCTGTACACACAGTAATGTATTAATAAGCACATGTGGGCTGGTGAATAACAAAAACAGATTTAGTGTTTAATTGTAGATGTTGTGCTGTAAACCAATGCCACTGCTGCTCACGAGCATCTGTTGGCCAGTATATTACCGTGAATGCCGTTGAATATGATTTACTTCAGGACATAGTGCCAATTGTAATCCGAAATGCACGTGGATTATTTAATTTGAAAATCTTGCTCACATTGACTTGATCTACTCAATTGTCATTTAGTTTCATATTGCATAAACAACGTGACATATAGGAAAGAATTAACGAATTGCCACACTTTGGATGAACAATACGATTACACACAAATCCACTTTTACGATTGTCGGCTAATTGTAACAGACTCGCTTTAAATGGATTACTTCATTTGCTTCTTCAATGAAAAGCCTGTTTGTAAAGCCGATGTGGCTGTGGTTGTGTGTGTGTGCAGAGCGTCTGACTGAGCTTGTTGCGTTCGGACCGGGTTTCGCTGAGTGGGCAGGTCTTGTTAGCATGTGTTTGCTGAACACCAGATGAAACACAGCCTCTTTTGTGTGTTTCGCTCCAGCGCTGGCCCTCCCGAGCTCTTAGAGGAGACCTCTGTCTGTGTAACGCTGTTATCTCAGCTCATGCTTGCTCAAATGCTCTCCCAGCTCATGCCACGTAGACCAGCCTGAACACACACACACACACACACACACGGACAAAGACCCGCTTGTGTTCTCGGCTCACCTTCCCGACGGCCAGTCTTGAGATTTCACTTGAGCTGAACTGCTATCTTAAGCTCATCTTAATGTAATGTTCTCTGAAGGTCATAAGGGTCTGGTTGTTTACTAATTAGCTCCCACTTTACCATCTGATGTGTGTGTGTGTGTGTGTGTATAATGTGAACATAATGTGAGGTATACTGTTACGCAGTTCATGTTTGGCATTTCTTTTTAGTGCATTAAGTTTAATATTCAACAATATTATTGATCTGCATTGACAGCATTATATGAGGACTGAACTGAGCTGGACGATGACATCATGGTTTTCTCCAGAGTTAAAATTAATAACTTTTTTACAATGAAACATCACTGAACTTACTTAAAGGAGTAGTTCACTTTTAAAAAAAACTTTTGCCGATAATTTCCTCACCCCCATGTCATCCAAGATGTCCATGTCTTTCTTTCTTCAGTCGAAAAGAAATGAATGTTTTTGATGAAAACATTCCAGGATTTTTCTCCATATAATGGACTTCAATGGGAACCAAACGGTTCAAGGTCCAAAAGACAATTTCAGTGCAAACTGTTCAAAGGGCTTTAAAGGATTCCAGACGATGAATAAGGGTCTTATCAAGCGAAACGATCGCTCATTTAATAAAAAAAATGATAAAGTTGAAGTTTTATAAGCTCAAATGCTCGCCTTGCTCTGTTCTGTGATGCACGTTCGTGACGCTCCTGTTCGAACTCGTTCATCAAAATGAACAAATCTTAAAAATAAAAATAAAAATAGGAATAGATGGGGACTGATGAGATGTGGGGGAAGGTTATCTTATATTATATTATCTTATTATATCATATTTTATTTTATACAGGATTGACAATGGCAATTGTTACATAGGAAGGAAGGAGGGAAATAAAAATCTACAAACACAATATGGGCTGTATGGTGGTAGTGGGGAGTGGGATGGTGATGGTAATGACAATGGTAATAAATAATAAATGGTTACTTTGTTTACCCACACTCACACTCGCTCACATACACACTTAGATCAAACACTTAAATCACTCTTGCCACTGCTGGAATCATGGATTTACAAGATTGCTCACTACTGCACTATGTTGGTTTGTTTGTATGTATGTCTGACTGTTAAATAAAATAAATAAAAAAACGTATATAGCTATAAATAAAAAATAAATCTTTTCCCGAGTCAATTCGTCCATTTCGTTTGTTGAATGAACCAAATCAATTGATGAACGAGTTCGAACAGGAGAGTCACGAACGCGCATCACAGAACAGAGCAAGGCGAGCATTTGAGCTTATAAAACTTAAACTTTGTTATTTATTTATTAAATGAGTGATCGTTTCGCTTGATAAGACCCTTATTCATCGTCTGGAATCGTTTAAAGCCCTTTGAACAGTTTGCACTGAAAGTGTCATTTGGACCTTGAACCGTTTGGACCCCATTGAAGTCCATTATATGGAGAAAAATCCTGGAATGTCTTCATCAAAAACCTTAATTTCTTTTCGACTGAAGAAAGAAAGACGTGGACATCTTGGTTGACATGGGGGTGAGGAAATTATCAGCAAAAGTTTTTTTTTAAACTGAACTACTCCTTTAAGCTGGACTGTAACACTAAACAAACTTTGCATTACTCTCCTGTTATCTCTGTAAAGCTGCTTTGAAAACCCTGTATTGTAAAAAGCGCTTTATAAATAAAGGAGACTTGACTTGACAGTGCATAATGATGCACTATTACTACTAATCTTCAGTGCACAATTAGTTTCTATCATGCTTTAAAAGGGGGTCTGTGGCCGGAAACTGGACTTAACAACAGGAAACTCCCTGATCCCACAATATGGCTGTTTGGCATTAGCGTTGTTTAGTAATGAAGAAAAAAGCCACATACATACAAATGTAAAAATGAACCTTGCAAAGCCAGTTACTGTCCTGTCAAACAATTTACTAGTGAAAAATAAATAAATGTAATTATTGCATCTAAACTGTAATGTCATACATTGATGACATGGAATATAGAGTGAAATTGAAAGTGTGTGTTCTTGGTCTTTCGCAGGCAGCTGTGTGAAGTGCAGCCAGGCTGTGTATGGAGCCGGTCAGGCGTGTCAGGCGATGGGAAGCCTGTATCACGACGGCTGCTTCACCTGTAGCGCATGCAGTGAGTATCACACACACACACACACACACACACACACACACTCGTCATCCTTAGTGTATGTACAGTCAAACCAACATGACCTTGTGGTTACAAGCGCCAACGCTCTACTGTTTGAGCTACAGGATTATCTCAGTTTATTATTATGAGCAGAACTCAGTGGATATTTGACTGGTTTTTGACTCTCACACATGAATTATGTTGAATATCTATCAGATGTTAAATTTAACTACACAATTTACCAGTTTAGCTCAACCAGTGACCAAGCAATGCTTCATGTTGGTCCGTGTGTGTGTAAAAAGAGCATTAGCGATTACAGTAAACACACTGAAGAAAACATGATCAGCTCAAAGTGGAGGAATCATTTCTGGTCCCGTATTTGTTTAAACCAGGGGTTCTCAAACATTTTGGTGCCAGGGACCCCTTTCAGGGGAAAAAAAATTCCAAGGACCCCCCTCATATTTATAACAGTTATTGAGCACAAAGTTAATGTGTGAGCGGCAAATGAAATATTTTTGCACAAAATGAATGGTCTCCACCCAGGGTACTATGCAGGAATGTCTAAATAGCCTACTGAGGTAACGAAAGTGATCTTGCTAGGAATCACTTAGGATCCCTCACTTAGGAATTTTTGATGTTCTTGATCTACACATGTGCATTTTAAGGTGTTTTAAGGCCCCACAATTGGATAACTATAGATTTAGTAGAAGCATGTCAGTCAGTGGCATACATTTTTTTTTTTTTTTTTTGTCAAGATGTCACGAAACACAATCACATATTCCAATCAGGAATGGCCTTAAAAGAGAAATGTTTCAATAATTAGGCCTATTCTGCACACAAATAAAGCCCATAAGCCTATAAATACAATGATAATGGCATTATGTTTAATAGGTGCGTGCGTTGTTAATTTGAGCTACTGTAATTAGCTAAAAAAACATACAGTATATGTTAAATATATGAATCCATAATGTTAATCTCATGGGCACAGTATGTTTCTATTGACCTGCTTTTTCCTTTGTTAAAGTTGAGCTTGATTAATACTTTGCAAACTGATTGTTTCAGTCGTTTTTTAAAACTTTTATCTAAAACAGCTGTTTAGTTTATGTTAATAAAGGCCTACATCTTATCTCGCACTTTATGACCGTTGACTGAAACGTTGTGCGGGGAACTTTGAGTTCACTCCGACTCAAACATTTTGACATTGACGAGCTATCGTTGTTAGTCTGCTGAAGCACCTCAGACGAGAAGGTCAGTATCATCGCGATGTGCATCCTTGCAACCTCAGTTGTGGGTACAGCCCTGTCACTATGCACTTTTATTTTGATAATGATCAGACTTCTAATGTCAAATCTACAGTAGCAGTGCTAGAACTGACTATTGTGCGCGCACGCAAGACGCCGGGGCGCAATTACATGGGAATTTTTCCTCAGCAGTGGAAACAGGAATACTCTTATTTATGGTCATAGATAAGACAACAGTGCATCATCCAAAACGGTAAAGTGTCCATTTTTTTATTTGTGTATAGGCTACATTATAAATGACTACAAAATGTCATGCCTTTTAAAAATACAGAAAAGAACCGGATGCGGGTTCATGCCGTCTCTCTGTCTCCTTTCTGGCGCACGTCCCGCAAAATCAACAGCAGCGAATAGTCTACTTGACGCAAAGACATAGATTATCTATCTATAGAAAACTTTAAGTGTCTACTTTGTATTGTTTTATGTTAAATGCTTTATATAAGTTACTTAGGAATAAACAGCATGTTTTCAGATGATAAAGAAAACATGACTCATAGCATGGAAAAAAACGTTAGGTTGTAAATTATTTCGCGGACCCCCTGGCTTTAGCTCGCGGACCCCACTTTGAGAACCACTGGTTTAAATGTTACTGGTAGTCGCTGTATGACGAATGATTGGGTATAATAGGCCACAGTTTACTTTATTTTGCTCTCCTCACTTACATAAATGAACTATAGTGTCCTGCACACACTAGTGAAATAATATCAAAAATGATATCTGGTGTCTGAATAATGTTTGGTTTGACTATATATGCTATATGACTGTACACTTGCATTGCCTTCATCTTTATCACTCATGATAAATCAGTGATGATTTACTCTCTGAATTTACTCTGATTTGTTAAAGTCTCCCTGTGGTGAAAATCCAGCTTTTTATACGTCTATGTGGTGTTTTTAATGTGCTTTAAGACAAAACATGTGTAAATTCATAAGTCTGAGCTGAGTGAGAGAGTGGAGGCGGGGCTCATTTGCATATTCATAGAATCACGAATACTAAATTAGGCGAGGGTGTCGAGTTACATTCAAGCTATTTTAAGGAAAAAACATTTAAATTTGTCATTATGGTGATAAAAGGTGCGTTTTAAGCGATAAAATTATTGACTAGAGGGCGACTTTAAAGGAGTAGTTCAAAAAGTAGTTTTTTTTTAAAAAAAAACTTTTGCTGATAATTTACTCCCCCCATGTCATCCAAGATGTCCATGTCTTTCTTTCTTCAGTCGAAAAGAAATTAAGGTTTTTGATGAAAACATTCCAGGATTTTTCTCCATATAATGGAGAACTCGTTCATCAAAATGAACGAATCTTTTTCCGAGTCAATTCGTTCGTTTCGTTCGTTGAATGATTTGATGAACGAGTTCGAACAGGAGAGTCACGAACGCGCATCACAGAACAGAGCAAGGTGAGCATTTGTGCTTCTAAAACTTAAACTTTGTTAATATTTTTTTAAATGAGCGATCTTTCCACTTGATAAGACCCTTATTCATCGTCTGGAAACGTTTAAAGCCCTTTGATCAGTTTGCAGTTTGTACTGAAATTCTCATTTGGACCTTGAACTGTTTGGTTCCCATTGAAGTCCATTATACGGAGAAAAATCATGGAATGTTTTCATCAAAAACCTTAATTTCTTTTCGACTGAAGAAAGAAAGACGTGGACATCTTGGATGACATGGGGGTGAGTAAATTATCAGCAAATGTTTTTTTAAAAGTGAACTACTCCTTTAAATTTGATTCAAACAGTCTGTTAAAATGAATCATATAAAAACTTGGATATTTTCACACTCATGGTTTTGCCCTAATTTATTTGTCCATGTTTTTTGCTAGTGTGTAAATGTTGAATGAGTTCAGGTTGACTGGGACCGGTTTTGCCATTGAGATGACTGGAAAAAAGTGTCCCAATCAACCTGACGTCACCCGTATATATGTGTGTGTTGGAGTGGATGTCATATTTAGTCATATTTAAGGTCTGCCAGTGCTTGATGTCAGGCTTCATCTCAGTTTGTCTGTGCTGTGTGAGAGATTGGGGTTTCAGCTTGTGGTTCAGGCATATATACACTGCCGATCAATGATAAAGTTTGTGCTTACCAAGGGTGCATTTATTTGATAGAAAATACAATATAAAGAAAACTGTATTATTAATATTAAAATAACTGTTTACTATTTGAATATATCTTAAAATGTCATTTATTCCTGTGATCAAAGCAGAGATTTGTTGATTTGATGCTCAAGAAACATTTCTGATTATTAGCAATGTTGAAAACCGTTTCAGATTCTTTGGTGAATAGAAAGATCAGAAGAACATTATTTACTGTATCTGAAATAGAAAGCTCATTAAACACTACCATTGAAAACTTTGGGGTCTAAAAGAAATGAACAAAATTAATACTTTTATTCAGCAGGGATGCATTCAATTGATCAAAAGTGACAGTAAAGACATTTAAATTGTTACAAAAGATTAATGCTGTTCTTTAAAATTCAGCTTTACCATCACAGGAATAAATTACCTTGTAGCCCTCAAACCATATTCACTTTATAGCCATTAATCCTGTAATTGTGGACAAATGTGGGCACAGAGGACTTTTTATTTATTATAAATGTTATATCACTGTCTTCGATAAAGTTTTGTCTATCCATTTATGGTGTTTTTTTTTTTATTTTGGGGGTACTTTTGAATTTATTTACTTCAAAAAGCACCATATTTTATATGTAAATTATGCTTATTTTATGTTTTATTTTTTTTATTTTTTAAACTACATTAAAATATCATTTCAATAAGTTCTTAGAGGTAAAACCTAAAGATTAAGTGACTTTGCTGTCACCTTGTGTCTTATTGTGGCTTACTGTATTTTAGAGTGCTCTAAATTACAGTTTTTCCCATTCATTTCTATGGGTGCCCATTTTTGACCCAAATACAAGATTAAGGAGTTTTTTAACCCATTTAACATTGTAGAATTGAGTAAAAAAAATCGGTGTGTGTTCAGGAGGCAAACTTAGGAAACGTAGCCAAGTCTTGTACCGCTCAGATCAAGGGAAGTATTTTTTAAAAATAAATCAAAACTATTTTGCCCACATTTGTCCAGAATACGGTTTTAGGGTTAAAATGTTCAAATAAAAAATTCTAATAATATTTCATAATATATATATATATATATATATATATATGATGAGTTCAGATGCAAAAGCCTCTAAGTGCCATTTGAAATTTTCTTCTAGAATGATCATTTTTATCAAGCTTGTATATTTAAGTTCAGTGATTTCACTTAAATGGCAATGATAATTACCTATTAATTGTTATTTAAGTGAAATTACTGAACTTAAATATACAAGTTTGATAAAAATCATCATTAAAGAATAAAATTTCAAATGGCATTTAGAGGCTTTTGCATCTGAACTCTTCATATATATATATATATATATATATATATATAAATAAATAAATATATATCTATATGCAGCCGTGGTGAGCTTAAGAGCTTATTTTATCAACAGTACAATCATACCGATCCCAATGCTGACAGGAAACAGAGTTGAGTCTGGGTGAACTAAACTAAACAGAACTTGCGCTCGGTGATAAACCTTCATTCCATGCATTCGTCCAGTCTGGTTTCCTCACACTTTATTTAGCTCCGCTCGGCCCCGGGGAATGGGAGCTATTTGAAGGAAAATGAGCATTCCTGAGCTTCTCCTCCGCATGACTGCCTTCGGCCCA